CTTCGGACTTACCGACCTGTGAATGTGGGTTAGATTCCTGGTAGAGGTAGAAATGTCCTCCACAGAGCCCAGGCCATCTCTGGTTTCCCAGGGGTAAACCGGCCAGGGCTTGAGGTCACCATTCCCCTCTGTCGCCTAGGACGTAAGTATGTGTGGAGCTACACATCCACGCCTTTTTCTTTTTTTTCTTTTGCATTTTCATCATTTTACAGACGGTAGGACTCCTTGGACGGGTGATCAGCTCGTCGCAAGGCCTCTACCCAATTACAGGACAACACAAACACAGAATAAACACATACACATACCAAACATCCATACTTTTTGTGGGATTGGAACCCGCGATCCCTGCTTCCGAGCGAGGGAAGACAGTTCATATCTCAGACCGCTCGGCTGCCGTGACCGGCAGCGAATAATAACATACGTCAAAACTCCTTAAGAATTTCAAATGTAAGGGCAAATTCCCCTTCGAAAAATTTCTTCACTATATAGNTCAGACGAAGAGAGACACCAAAAACCAAAAACTGATGCCGGAAGCAGCGTCATCAGCAGCGACTTGAAGCACAGAGCAAATGATGCTCGAGATGGTTCAAGTTCGTATAGCAACAGGCGTGACCAGAGTGGTTTGAACGGCTGCTGTACTGCGATGTGGAAAGCAAATGGAAAAACTACCACATTATCACTTTTCCTGGATAGTCCCTTTCCAAAAACAGAGATACCATGTATGCGACCAGAAGACGAGGAAAAAGATGTAAGAAGATGCTGGATGACTTTGGGGACAGAAGAGTATATTTTTATTTGAAGGAGAAAGCTCTAGATCGTATTAAGTGGAGGAACTGTTTTGGAAGAGACTGAGGACCTGTCGTATGACAGATTACTGATGAATGAATAGTTCAGATAACGTACCAACAGATGTCACATGCTGTCCGTCAGATATAACAGTTCTTGTAACGGTAGAAATTATCGACACTTGGCACTTCTTGGGATAAAGTGCGGGACGGTGTGCAGCACACACCGCGCCGTCATCCCATGTGAGTCCGGATCATGCTGCATGTCCAGTGTGGGCACGAATTCGTCGCTGAAATTGTCGGCCGCAAATTATTTTAACGGATTCTGCAAGTGACGTTATAAAGACAAGGGGGGGGGGATTCCCAGCAGTGAGACACTTCTTTGTCACCAACTCTGTCTCTTCTCACCATCAACTTTATCAACACTTCCTTTCCTTCACATCTTTCTCTTTGTTTTGCTTGTCCCCTCCACTGGAATGCAGATGTCTCTGGCGTCGTGTCGTTACGTTTCTGCGTCTTCATTATATTAATTGAAAGCGTTACCACACGCTGGCCCATATCTGGGCTTTCCATTAGCCGCGATGGATATTGCAGACAGAAATATCTGCCTCCTTCCCGAATCGTGACAGAGTTACGACGTGATAGCATACTTCTGAGGTGCTGAATGCGACATGCATATCAGTCCCACTGTTATCCCGGAGGGTGAGAGCGAGCTGTGTAAATATTAATTATTTATAATCACGCCATGTCTCCATTAACTTACGGAAACGTCTGCTAATGTAATTGAATGCGCGTGACGCAACAGTGCGCGCTGCGATGTTCGGATTTACCAGATGTACAACTGAGTAACTCTGAACAAACGCTGAACAAAGTTTAGGTGAACATTCTGAAATTCGGTGTTTGAATACCAACTCCATTCATAAAGTCCAGCCTTTGGGCCCCACCTTGACGCATTTCTATTGACTCATTTTTCGTACCTGAACATGGAGACAGTAATCTCCCTCCGAAACATCGATGAACTTCTACCGGACTACACGGCGTCACATTCCAGATGATGATACTGCTCACAGTGACCGTCAGACCAACCTCAGTTCTGTCCATTCGGCACCCTTCCACGCCCGAAATTTCTCCTCCCCTTAGGCGGTTTATTTAAAGACGTTTCGGTATCTCAGATTATATAACGTCGAAACTTAGGATGATAAACTTGAACGCAGGTGAAGGGAAGCGACCGTGGCCTATTTCAAGGTATCACCATTCGCCTGGACGGACTGAGTAATGCCATGAAAATCCTCAGTCAGGGTATCCGTTGCCTTAGTCGAGATTCGAACCGAACACCTCTCGAATGCGAGGCAAGGACGTTACCCTACGCCAACCTGGTCGGTAGCTTGTGATGTACAACTTGAGGGACAAGGGTTCGCTGCCGGAGCTAGGTAACGCCTCCATAAGGGATGCGACGTGACGCTGTGACGTGTTCACAGGGAGGAGAGGATTCACAAGGTATCCGACGCCAGGCGTCGCACGTGAGAAGCTCCTCGGCTACAGACATCAACTTCCTGCTCCAGTTATTTTAGGCCTTCTTGAGAAGCTGACAGTCGCTGCCTCAGTCAAGACGTTCCCCATATTTGATGGAATACAATTTAGTACCATACTCATAAGAACATTCCAGTGGATCCCAACCTTAGCCAGTTTAATCCAGTCCACACCCTCCCCCACATTCTCTTTAAGATAAATTTTAATACTATACTCCCATCCGTGCCTAAGTTGTTTCCGACTTGATGCTTTCTCACCAAAGCCTAACCATTTCTCACATATCCAGTGCGTGCCACATGTCCTGCCCATCTAATCCGTATTGCTCTGATCACTCTAACGAAGTTTGCTGAGGAGCGGGGACTGTGGGCGTGCAGTCTGCAGTTTACTCTCATCACTACCCGATCGCAGCAGTAAACTACAATAATAGTGCATTAAGAAACAAACGTTTCGGAGTGATATACTGCTTCCTTCTTCAGTGTGACGCAACTTTATCATTAGAGCCAAATGTTTATGGAACGCCACGCTCAAATGGTTCAATAGAAACACGCACGAGATAAACGGTCTATGGAGTCGCAGTAGCTCAGTCAATATAGTGACCAGACTGCGGGCTGGAAGGGCACACTCTCTAGACAGGCTTTCGGACCCACAGAGCCTCCTGTCCAGCGGGTGGTATGCCGATCGGGTTGTGAGACTGACAGCTCACCTGTAACTAGTGCTAAGGTTAAGAATGTATGGAGTATACCGTTATTCCCCCATACGTCTTCATATCCTGTTACTAAGCACAGGGTCGCCTTCAGCTTGAAATATTTGTGCGAAATAATATTTACTTGTGACTGAAGTGGGACCCAGTCATCAGTCACTTCTCCTACTGAGCTACGCCGGATCACACCGATCATTATGCTCGGATATAGCACCGCGTAGTCTGGTAGAAATGTAGAGAACTTCAAGTGGAAAGCACTAACAAGATCTTCCACGTCGAAAAGTAAACCAAGCAGTCCTGAAGATAGAGGCAGCACCTTCCTCCGAAACATTATATAAACTACAACGCCATGGTCACCGTTCTGAGAACATTAGATCCGAACACTGCTAATCATCCACTGCTTGGGTTACTTTTCGACCGTGAAGATGGAGGCGATATGTTCTTGCGAAACGTCGGCTGTCTCCGAACTACACGGTGTTACAACTCAGAAGACCTCACTTTGTGTAGTGGCCTCTGCGAGGTCCCCAAATCCAAGATTTTATTACATTTTCCTATTTACGTCAGACGGAATGAAAACGCGTTTTTCCTGGGAAATCGTGTTGACACTTGTAGCAGGGAAAGAGACGCGCCGGTTATCGTGGCGGGCGTCTCGCTGGGAACTTCTTTATTGAGGAACGGATTTTCCGTCCGATTTATAACGCAGTTATACGTTTGTCAAGACGACGCAACTCGACGCCACCCGCGACGCCCAGGAAAAGCACACGGAACCATGAAATCTGCTCCCAATGTCTCCATAGACGAACTGCCACTTGTATTGGCCCCTGCACCCCCCGCATCCCCCGCTCCTCATTCTGAATTCCATGCCGGGTAGCTCAGTCACTGTAGTGGCTGGAGGGTCGGGTTTGCATATTTGCGTCTTCGCGTCCAGACAAACCACGGAAATCAGGGCTTTTTCCTCAAGGGTTAAGAAGCCGGGGCGCGAAGCTGACAACTAACTCCTGTCTAGAGGCTAAAGTTAAGAAACGCTGCAAAATATAGATTCGAGGTTATCGTAGCAGTAGTTTTGAAGATTGCTGTGTTCTGGAATGTGACTCCGTGCAGTTTGGTAGGTCATACAAAATTTACGGTAACCTGAATGCGAATGTAGCATGCCACACGGCGTCACATTCCGCAAGACAATAGTCTATAGTGGATATGTATACCTCTGTCAGGAGGTGTTGTAGTGTCAATATGGGGAAACAACGCACAACGCCATAAATCAGTATAAGGAAGTAGTGGTTTAGCTCCACGCATTCTTGATCTCGCAAGTAGATGAGGGTGACTGGTCGGCTTCACACCCTACACCCTTTATCCTCGGAGTTAGAGCCCCCCGTACGACTACCCTTTACATTGGAGGATCAGTGGGCGCCAGAGTTGGTCTGGACGTTCGGCAGGAAAGCCCCTTTTCAGTGGTTCATTCAACGACAGTGTTAGCAGCATCGTGTGATAATTTCTGAACTGATTGGAAGGGATTTGAAAGGAAGCGGGCGTAGGCTAATAGAAGTACTGTCTCTCTGTTAGCATGAAACAACTGAGAGAAATCCGTGAAAACCATCATTCAGGACAGACAGAGATTCGAACGAAGTACCTTTCGAATGCAAATTACCTCCAGTCCAATCTGCCCTTCGATAAGTCTCTTGGCTTTGCTGGGAATCGAATCTGGTTCCCTCACTCGTCACAGCTTCGCGTCCATTACCTTCACCAAATGTTCGTTCATTGCTCGGTGCAAAATTTTGGCTGCCATGACACTACGCAGGTGTAAAAATGGAAAGGGGGTGGGGGTTGTCATGGTTGATATTAAAATAGATACAGCCTTAGTTGTGGGAGGGGGGTGTCGGCGGAAAGGGGGAGGGGGTGTGTTGGTAGGTGCGCAGTAACCATTCCTAGGTCGTGGATACTGTCCCAGCCAGCAAGCAGCCTGCCTTGACTTTCCCACTAGGCTCTCCCGCGTTGCCTGTCGAAACATGCGCTCGGCGCTGTTCAGTTGTTCTGCTCTATGCAGTTGCCAACGCGAATTGGGGCGGAAGGGTTGTACTGTAGTGGGTAGATACACTCTTGTAAAATGTTGTTATTGTTGTTGTTGTTGTAGTGTGTAAAACAAACATAAAGTGGTGTCAATTTCGCTTGTAACGCAGCTTTCAGTGTCAGATCAGGGTGCAAAAGGAACGGGGCAGCAACAGGTGAGTCGCCTTCACAGCATGACCTGCAAAGTGTGTCTCCTTACGAATCCATTTTTCTTTTTGCTGTGGGTCCGATGATGACTCCTATTACAGCCTTACGTCACGTGTTTAACGCTTTACAGCCTTGAATTTACGTAAATAACATTTGAAACTCCAGTCTATAACCTCACAAGGTAAACTGGGTCACTCACTCACTCAAGGAGCTGAGCCCTTCTTGAGAAGCCGCCAGTTGTACACCTACTCAAAAATTCCACAGCATTTTATGAAAACCGAAGGTTAATTACCGTGTTCACAAGAGCCCTCCATTGGTCCCTATCCTGAGCCAGATCAATCCAATCCATCCCATCCTATCTAAGATCCATTTTAATATTGTCCACATAAACTGGATCTCCTTTACAAAAGCTAAATGCATTTTGTTGTGAGACTTATACGAAACATAGACACTCTATATGTGTTGAGGTGTTAAGGAAAATGGTACATATAGTAACCACAGGGCTTTAAATGTTCAAGGAGCAAATTATGGATATAACCCATAACTTGGGATATGCCTGGTTGCCGTAGAGACAGTTACTGCAAGTTTCCGTGGTTTTCTCCTAGGTAAATTATGTTACATGCTACAAAGGGCAGTAACTTTTGACGTTGAGTAGAATAAACGCTTAAAAGTAATCTACAAGTCGGGCCGCGCCATAGCTCAAGCGGTTAGTCGCTGGCTTCCCACCGCGGCGGCCCGGGTTCGATCTCGGGTCTGGTCAAGTGGGATTTGTGGTGGACAAAGTGGCGCTGGGGCAGGTTTTCTCCGAGTACTTCGGTTTCCCCTGCCAATCTTCATTTCACCAATTGCTCCACAATCACCTTCACCTATCATCTGGGGCTGGTACAATAGGCCAGAAGTGGCCGCAGTACAAGGGACTTAGTCCCACCCCACTAGCAATAAAAAACCTACAGGTTATATTCTGAGCGGATTGTCTAGATAATGTGGGACCCTCAACGTCTCACAACTCTATGGGCCTTCACGGCCTGTTACAGCGATAGCTTTACTTTACTTTACTTTACTTTACTTTATTTGTGGACGGTTGTTTTATGAAGCAGTTGGTAGCTGGATTCATAACGTCAAATGGGTCACAGATGAATAATGAGTTAGAACGCACTTGAAAAGGAAGTAGTCGTGACCTAAGCATTTATTTGCAAGAACTGGGTAAAACCACGAAAACCATACATCGAGATGCAGGCATTGCAGCTCAGGTTCGAACCCGGCATCTAAAAAGACCATCACGACACCCTGTTTGCAAAAGGGAACATTTTACTTGGCGCTGAAAATTAAAACTGTGGATGTGACACCGTATAGTCCGGTAGAAATGTAGTAGCGTTTCGGAGGAACTTGAGGCCTTCGTGTGTGTAGGGTAGAATAAAGAGGCAGCATGTTAATCCGAAACGTCGGTACCTTCCCATCAGTCTACACCGCTTCACTTCCCAGAATACAGTACTTTCAGTAAGCAACTGTTACCAACATCGAACAGTAATCTTACCACTTGCTTATAAAACTTGGCGCCCTCTCTTTCTGTCGGGAACCAAACGTGGGCCTGTGATTGCTCAGAGTGAGGTCTCCTAGGTTTATACAGATGTATCGGATGAGTATGCTGTCTCCATCTTCAGGTTGGAAGTACACGGTGTGAGGAATTATTTACGCAGCTGGATAGTTGCTACGTTCCAAGTGCTTGCTTAAGCAGAACGCGATGAAGACGTGTGGAGCAATGTGTGCAGCTGTTTCGCCCCCAGGAAGGGGCCCTTCGGTACCTGTTGGAGGGGGGGGGGCTGGATGGGCCCCCGAGCCGGTCTGGAAGCTATGGAGAAAAGTCTCATCGTCCCCCTGTCGAGAATCGAAGCCAAATTCCTCAGTCGCGAGTCTGTGGGCTAGTCACTATATTGACTGAGCTATCTCAGATATATTTTCATTTGCATTCGATGCTGAAACCCTTTCATTTGATAAATCTTCGTCAAATGTAACGGGAAATAGGGGTACCATCACCTGGATTGTAACGCCATGTGGTTCGGTACAAGTCTACTGATGTTTCGGAGGGACGCATTGCCTCCATCTTCAGAGTATAGGACGAAGCGAAGCTCGAAATCTGCGAGAAGCATTCAGCAGTGATTTAGGTATTGCCGTTTCGCACGCTGTATGGCGACATGATTAGCTGTTCGCTCCGCCGCATGTAAATGTTGTTGCTTTATGGGCTGTACAGAGTTGTAATGGAAACTCAGCTTTTAACCTCAGTAAACTTGGCTTCCTTTTACGTCTCTTTTTGTGCGAGTTTTAAACGATTTTCGACCTTATAGCCAAGTCTTATAGTACGACGTTATAAACAGTTTAACGACTTGGGAACAAACTGTCTCTGAAATGAGCCTCGTGACACAGATCCTCTACGCCGTGTTAAAAGGTATTCGTGTAACATGTTTATTGCAATGGGTCGGATTGTGTGTAAACTGGGGGGGGGGTGAATTGCAGGGGTCGGTAAATTGGGCGCACTCAAGCATCATGTGAAAAAAAGAATGTAAAATCCCTGGGGTTAATTAATTAAGCACGACGCCATGAAGACATGTGGGGCGTGAAGGTATGGCTCCACCAATCTTAACCTCGGCACTAGATGGAGGTGAGTTGTTAGCTTCACGCCCCGGCCGCTTTACATCCGGGAAAGAACAAGTATAACCCTTTTGGATAGGGGGCTGGTTGGGCCCCAGTGTCAGTCTGGAACCAGTGGGGAAAATAGAAATGTCTTACCTCTGCTCGAGAACGAACTCCGGCCCGTCGCTACTGTATAAATGTATGACCGCCAACCTCACACAGTTACCTATGGTTCCGCGTATGGACGCAAGATGGCAGGAATTCGTTTCGCCTTTAGGTAGGCCGCACACCGGCGTGCGTCAAGACACGATGTCTGTGACACGATGTAAAGAAAGGAGCACAGTTGAAACGAATGAGATTACGAAAACCGCCACACACTGGTCTGAGTCATGATGCTGATGTCAGCTTCATGCTAACGAATCACGAATGAAGCAAGACTGCGTCTTTTGTCTCATGTCTTGATGCTTGTCTTGACGCAGTTGGTGTGCGGCTGCCCTTCAACGGCTAATCGTTTGGTCTAAGGCTTTATACAGCAGCACCATCTCCAGTGTATTTGTCACACTAATTACCGGCCTCTTCTGCATTGTCTGAGCCCTTGACGTAGTTCGACGGATGTGGCACGTCTACGTTCAAAACACCTGCTTTAATGGCCGCTAAAAGGTCATAGAATAAAGTCGAAAATAATTTACTTGCGGAGCAGCGGAGACAGGGTACATTTACTGGGGTTCTGAGTTAGTGCTCGGCCATTTGGGTTTCAGCAACATTGTTGCCATTATGAACACCGTTACTGCGTTTGGAGCATAATAAATTCATTCATAAAGCAATTTCTCCGAGCATACAGCGCGTTTTTCTTGTTTTGCCTATAAAACAAATCCTCTAGGAGACCCAACCTCAGGGAAAACAGCTGCAGTTACAACAACAGTGAGGGGTAGAGTCGTAGTTACCGCCTGTATTAATCATCAAGTCATGGAGACGCGTATTGTGGGTGAGCTTCACGCTCCGGCTGCTCTAACCTCAAAAAGAGTGCTACCGGTACCCATTCGCTAAGAGGCAAGTGGGACCCAGAGCTTGTCTGGACGCTGTGGAGAAAGAAAATAACTCTTGTTCTTGCCGCGAATCGAACCTCGGACGTCCAGCCCGTAGCCCCTCACTAGTCACTGATTATCCCGGATTCAGTTTATGTACAGTTTATTACAAATAAAAAGATCTGATGATGGTGTAAGACTGACGCCGAAACATTGACCTTTTGAACTGTAGGAAGTGAAATATCTTGAGTGGTTTCGATATGTATATTATAAAAAGTAAAGCTGTCCCCGTAACAGGCCGTGAAGGCCAATAGGGTTGTGAGACGTCGAGGTTCCCATATTTTCTAGACAATCGGCTCAAAGATTGCGGTAAGGTTGTCAGCCTTACGCGCCGGCCGCCCTTTACTCCCCAGGAAAATTATTTAATTAATTCCTGGTATTCATTTCTGTTAGAGGCTGAGTCGACCCCAAGGCCATAGTGCGGCTGGAAGGATTAGATCAACTGAAAAAAGAATCCAGTGACCTCATCGGGACTTGAACCCGCGACCTTCCGGCTTGTAGCATAGTTACTCAACCAACTACGCTTACGAGAGCTTAAACTCTGACGTAATTCTAAGACAATTCTAAAGTAGAAACTGATGCCGTAGATTTGGGTAAAAGCATAACGACGTTTCGGAGGAACGTACTGGAAACAGTGCGTGTCTTTGCTTCACAGTATCTTGTCTCCTTTTTCCTCTGAGACGTGGAACTGTCAGGATAAACATTTCACGCGCCCTCGATACTGACAGGGCCAAATTTAGAATATCAGAATTCATTTCTTGAAGTCCGTGCCGTGACGTGTGAAGACCAGAGAATCACTAACGACTGTTTTCATTCACTGTTTGACAGCTGACGTCGTTATCTGTGAAGCGGCGGAGTTAGTATACCGGTGAGTCTGTGCCCCCCCTTCGTAGGTTCGTGTTACTGGCCAGTGCAAAGCGGGTTGCGGCTGTAAGGCGAGAGCAGTTATGAGAAATATGGACTCAAATATGTCGGAAAAAATACAGGAAATGACGTTATATCGCGTGACCTACTTAAGCTAGTCTGTGAAAGCATTCCAGCGGCTTGATATTGTGAGGGAAGAATGTAAATTCGAAGTATCTGGAAATGAAGTCGGGGCACGCGGTAGCGTAGGCGGTTGAGGCACTCGCTACGAGCAGGGAGGCCGCGGGTTCGATTCCCGATCAGGTCACTGGATTTTTCAATTTACCTAATCCTCCCAGCCGCACTATGGCCCTGGGGTCGACTCAGCCTCTAACAGAAATGAGTACCAGGTTAATTTTTTAGGGTAAAGGGCGGCCGGGAGCGTGAGGCTGACAACCTCATCGCCATCTGTGAACCGATTGTCTAGAGAAAATGTGGGAGCCTCGACGTCTCACAACCCCATGGGCCTCCACGGCCCGTTACACGGATAGCTTTACCTTTTTTTTTTCTGCAAGCGAAGTACGGAAAGGAGTGCTCAGTTGTCCTGCAGATTGTTTAACGACGCGTCCAGGCCGATCTGATGTGTATAGCAGAACCGTTCCATATTTGTGCTGGGATGTGATCGGTTCGAATCTGGAATGTATAATTTTTTAGTTTGTTATTTAACGACGCTGTCCGCATCAATACTATACAGCATGACATGATATGACTTATTCACTGCTGGAATGAGAAGTGGCAGGGGATACAGAAGTGCTCGGAGAAAACCTGTTCCAGGACAACTTTTTTCACCTTAAATCTCATGTGACCTACCTGGAATCGAACCCGAGCTGGAGCGGTGGGAATCCGACGATGGCTGGAGGTTTCGATTACTTCGAATTACTCTTCGGACGTTTCCTTTCACATCCTTTCCAATTCATAATTCACTAATTATCGTCGGACGCTAGCGACATAATCAAATAAAAAGTTCTGAGAAGAGTTAAATCGCCTACTTTCCTTTGACACGGCACGGACCTCATAGAAAACGAACCGTCCAACAATTCTTCTATTGTTTCGTGTGTATGCGTTGCAGCGTTAACATTTTTACCGAGCCGTTGCTTAGCAATGACAGGATGGATACACGTAAAGACAGACTGATGGGAGGTATTTATGAAGTACGCCGTTGAGATGGGCTCAGGTACAATGCTATTTAGCGTGTAGACCCTTTACCAGGTAGCGATCCTACGCAACAACAGGGAAACTCTTTGAAGCTGTGTTTTCTGTTGTCCGCTACGCTGCCGTTGCTAAGCAGCAGCGCGATAAACACATCTCTGCAGCACAGTTGAACTACAACAATATAAGAGCTGTGTTTCCCACGTGGTCCGCGTCGAAGTCAGTATGTGAAGGGAAGAATAGGAGGTTTGTCTGAAATGGCCGCCAGCCTTGGAGTTAGTCAGTTGAAGCACAGAGAATTGTAAGGGAGTCTGTGAAGAGAAGACTTAGTCGGTGCCAGACGGTAAGACATAAGCGGACAGTGTTAAGATCCGTTACCAGGAAACGACCAGGGAAGACAGAAGACTTTATATGTGCTGGAGTGTGCAGTTCAGCGAGGCTGTTATAGTTACTTGTTGTCACGATCCGTAAATGGTCAATAAGTCCAATTGCCAATCCAAACGTCGTCTACCGAGTGTCATAAAGATTGGGTCAGCCATTCAGGACTTGACAGTGGGGATACACAGACAGCATGGTAGTCGCATAAGCTTACTTGTATTTTTAAAAGGGAAGAAAGTGGGCCAATGAACCGTGAATATGCAAACAGAATGTCATTGCCGGAATGAGGACTTGCCATTGAAACGCGGATCCACTCCCGCGTTCAGCGCGGTTTCCGATTTCTGTTTTCATAATTACTTCCCGTATTGATTGTACGGTAGTGCAGGCACACTGGTAAAAGTGTACACTCGTGTTCCATCGGGGCCTATTTCCTGGCTGAGATTTAACCATTTAAAGCAAAATGGTAACTATATGTACCACCTGCTTCAACATACTAAAACTCTGCATTCTGCCCACAGAGTGTATTTATGTGTTCCATATGGTTCTCACAGTAAACAGCGATTGTTTCCCTAAACAGCATTAACCGGTTGGGCGTTGTTATGGAGACGGAGTGTGTTTCCTGTGAAGTACGGACTTCAAGATACTAAAACTCTGCATTCTGCCCACACAATGTATTTATATGTTCCATATGCTTCTCACAGTAAACAGCGATTGTTTCCCTAAACAGCATTAACCGGTTGGGCGTTGTTATGGAGACGGAGTGTGTTTCCTGTGAAGTACGGACTTCAAGATACTAAAACTCTGCATTCTGCCCACACAATGTATTTATATGTTCCATATGCTTCTCACAGTAAACAGCGATTGTTTCCCTAAACAGCATTAACCGGTTGGGCGTTGTTATGGAGACGGAGTGTGTTTCCTGTGAAGTACGGACTTCAAGATACTAAAACTCTGCATTCTGCCCACACAATGTATTTATATGTTCCATATGCTTCTCACAGTAAACAGCGATTGTTTCCCTAAACAGCATTAACCGGTTGGGCGTTGTTATGGAGACGGAGTGTGTTTCCTGTGAAGTACGGACTTCAAGATACTAAAACTCTGCATTCTGCCCACACAATGTATTTATATGTTCCATATGCTTCTCACAGTAAACAGCGATTGTTTCCCTAAACAGCATTAACCGGTTGGGCGTTGTTATGGAGACGGAGTGTGTTTCCTGTGAAGTACGGACTTCAAGATACTAAAACTCTGCATTCTGCCCACACAATGTATTTATATGTTCCATATGCTTCTCACAGTAAACAGCGATTGTTTCCCTAAACAGCATTAACCGGTTGGGCGTTGTTATGGAGACGGAGTGTGTTTCCTGTGAAGTACGGACTTCAAGATACTAAAACTCTGCATTCTGCCCACACAATGTATTTATATGTTCCATATGCTTCTCACAGTAAACAGCGATTGTTTCCCTAAACAGCATTAACCGGTTGGGCGTTGTTATGGAGACGGAGTGTGTTTCCTGTGAAGTACGGACTTCAAGATACTAAAACTCTGCATTCTGCCCACACAATGTATTTATATGTTCCATATGCTTCTCACAGTAAACAGCGATTGTTTCCCTAAACAGCATTAACCGGTTGGGCGTTGTTATGGAGACGGAGTGTGTTTCCTGTGAAGTACGGACTTCAAGATACTAAAACTCTGCATTCTGCCCACACAATGTATTTATATGTTCCATATGCTTCTCACAGTAAACAGCGATTGTTTCCCTAAACAGCATTAACCGGTTGGGCGTTGTTATGGAGACGGAGTGTGTTTCCTGTGAAGTACGGACTTCAAGATACTAAAACTCTGCATTCTGCCCACACAATGTATTTATATGTTCCATATGGTTCTCACAGTAAACAGCGATTATTTCCCTAAACAGCATTAACCGGTTGGGCGTTGCTATGGAGACGGAGTGTGTTTCCTGTGAAGTACGGACTTCAAGATATTAAAACTCTGCATTCTGCCCACACAGTGTATTTATGTGTTCCATATGGTTCTCACAGTAAACAGCGATTATTTCCCTAACCAGCATTAACCGGTTGGGCGTTGCTATGGAGACGGAGTGTGTTTCCTGTGAAGTACGGACTTCAAGATATTAAAACTCTGCATTCTGCCCACACAGTGTATTTATGTGTTCCATATGGTTCTCACAGTAAACAGCGATTATTTCCCTAACCAGCATTAACCGGTTGGGCGTTGCTATGGAGACGGAGTGTGTTTCCTGTGAAGTACGGACTTCAAGATATTAAAACTCTGCATTCTGCCCACACAGTGTATTTATGTGTTCCGTATTGTTCTCACAGTAAACAGCGAATTGCCAGAATACACGGGGTCACATTCCAAGACCTCCACCGTGAAAATTCCATGTACGACTCAAATTTTGTTCCCTGCAGTTTCTGTCATCTGTGTTTAGAATGCAAACCAGGCTTTCAAAGAATTCCCTGCTTCCTTCTTCAAGGAGCTGGGGAGATGTGAGTTGATAGATCAAGTAGTATGAGCTGAACAGCTTAGTCTCGTGGATTCATCTGTCCGCCACCCTGAAGACGGTAACAGAACCAACTTCTTTGTATATTCAGCTTGCTGTTATGTAGTATCGTCACGGTCAGACATTAACTCTGGGATGTAACTCTGTGTAGCCTGGTAGAAGTTCACTGATGATTCGGAAGAACATACCTCCCCCATCTTCAGTATGGAATAATAAGCCAAGCAAGTAACCAGAGGACCACTGCTTGCGCGTTGTTTGTTGGGCTTATTTCTGACGCGTCTCTGGTCTCTTTCCCATAAAAATTACTCTTGATATGTGTGTCCTATAGTCATTCGACAGGACTCCCTGCATCGGGGATCAGCCCGTCGCTATACCGACTGAACTATCTAGGCTCCCTACTCTTACCAGTATGTACGGTAGTCACGGCTCTTGGGGCAATGTTCAACTGTTGCGGTAGTGCTGGATACGATTCAAATTCCCATTGCCAGCTTCTTAAGTATACAATTAAATTTAATTTCCTAAATTGAGTGATGTCCATTTTTAGCTGCTGTATGTTATGACGTTAACGGGGAAAGCAACTATTTACCGGGGGAAGAACGGGTACTCCTGGTCTGTTTTCTCGCAACGAAAAGGATGGATGCAGAAATTTCCGCTGACGCAAGAAGAATTCTGTAAGCACTGCAACTTGCTTGCCAATAAACTTAAGCTGATTGTGTTTATCTCCTTCTTTGCAGGAACCCAGGACTGACTTGATCAGAAGTCCTTGTTTGAATCCCCACAATCTCCGCCATAGACAACAGGCCTACCAGAAAGCGTGACGCCTTTCAACGCGAAGTTCACACCAACAGGCAACAGAAGGAATTACTGGAGAGAAATACAAGGAAGCAAGACACAATTCTTTGCTTTTTAATGCTAACGATTTTATTTGATCACCGATTCAATTTAAAGAGTCAACACACACGCGTTTGAAGTCATCTTGAAGAAGCTTCCGCACCTGGATTCAGTACCCCGTTACAATTTCCCCTTCCATACATTGCGCTCTTGCCTCATTCCGAATAGCATATTTTCTGGTACACCCTGTGCCGATATAGACAGATGCTTGTAACTTGCGGAGTACATATGTACTGTTCTATTTATGTCTGAATATATACGAACTGATAAACTGAAGTGATTGATTTATATGAAACAAAAATAGAAGCTGATATGCAGTGATAAGAAACAGTGATTTCGTCAATAATACTAAATTTAGTCAATTATCATCGTTCATAAGTATTATGTCCGCAATGAAATGAACAAGTTCACAGATATTGAACGCAATTTAAAAATATTATAATCATGTTTACATCGCGTAGAAATAGAGTTGCTTTACTGAATGCTGGGACTGTGGTCAACATATCATCATATCAGGGTAAATACTAAATATTTAAACACATCTTACTGAGCCATTTCCGGTTTGTTGTGAACGAACAGTTACTGGGGAGAATATATAAAAGCAACTGCGGACAAGCTGAGAAGTGCGTGTTGAGCCGAATAAAGTGACCATTCTGGAGCGATAATTGTGTAAAATAGAACCGTCTTCTTTACTTTCAAAACGAGACCAAGTTCAATACCAGCCGTGCTGAAGACAAAGTAGCCGCGCACACAACTCGAGTGCGTGTCTCGACGTTCGGCTGTTTGGGGCCGATATATCCTGTGAACATCTGGAGGCGGGTACTGTGCCCACTGTGAGACCGCCCGATGCCCGCGACGGCCATGTTCTCCAAGTTCAAGCACGGACCGACAGGACAGAACGTCCTGGACAACAATCCCATAGTGCAGTACTTCGAGATAGGAAAGCAGACGGCCAGCGCCGGACCGGAACTTGTGTGGCGAATCCACGACGCTTACAGGAAAAGCGACGGCAAGGTGAGTGTGAAGAGTGTACAGTGATTTCACTCAGAGACTGCACGTTACATCGGTCTCTTGGCAGAGGTGCATGGACAAAGTTGAGTTCTCGCATGCCATCAAGGCGTAGTGAGGAGTGGAGGTATAGGCACAGACACTAGTGGAATTGTGATGTAAAATTGTCTCTCACATGCTACGAGTATAATGTGTGGGCATGAAGGGGTCACGTGATGAAGCCGTAGATTGGAATGGGGGTTTTCAGATATTCCCTCCGACCGCATCTCTCAAATTATATGTATAATGTAGATTTATCCCTGTCCTTAATCAATTAGGCAATTGAAAACCGCGCCATGAAGACGTATGGGGGAGTGGAGGAGACAGAGAATTACTGGGATTTTGGACTTTTTCCATCGTCCGGAATTCTAGGCAATAGAGGACACGATGTTTCGGAAATTGGATTTGTTTCCGTCTTTAGGTGAGAAAGGAAGACACCTACTCAGTTGGGCCCCTTAGAAAGAGCTAATGTCAATCACTGGAGGAGGTATAGCTCCACCATTCTTGATTTGGACACTAGATGTAGGTGAGTGGCCAGCTTCACGCCTCTGCCGCTTTAGCCCCAGGCTGTTGAAGGCTGGGTGGGAACAAGAGCCGGTCTGGACGCTGTGGGCAACAGATTTTCGAAAATCGAACCCCAATTCCTCGGTCGCCAGACCTGTAGCCCACTCACTATACCGACCTTGCTGTCTTCATAAATACGCTTAGGGGAATAATCGCTGTTTACTGTGAGAATCGTAAGGAATGTAGAGGCACACTCCGTGAGGGGAAGAATTGTGGAGTATTAATGTTAAAACAGGTGGTATATATATGTACCATTTTGCTGTAAATGGTTAATACGTAATTTTCCCCGTCCTGCTGACCAGTTGCTCGCAGTCAGCGCCCTCTTTTTCACACATCCACAGACTGCGTGATGCTGACAATGTCAGAGACCAAGTTTCACACCCACACAGCACACAGCGGGTAGCGTTATCATACGATTCAATATTAATTTTCTTAGAAACGGGACAGGTAGATAGGAACGCGTTGTCGCGATCATATGCATACAGGCAGCGACCTCCGTCCATCTGACGTCACACTTCTCATGCGTCAGCAGCAGGGACTCGCAACAGGGCCGACCAGGCGCTCCTGTCTGTCTCTCGATGCAACTTCACACACACGAGCTCAGCTTTTCAGTTGCTTGGGATCAGAAAGGAGAAGGGTTCCTCAATCTGCCATAGATATTCAGCAAGTGCTGGGGGGAGAGACTAAGCCCCAAAACTTCAAGACCGAGGTTCTGATAAGGTGCTGCCTGATAAGAGCTACCGCGCTGATAGATTAGTATGGAATAATGATGGAATGGTGATTATCANAAAAGAAGCGCGGGGGGGGGGGGGGGGAACTGGTAGAGTGAAACTTCGATCAACCAGGAATCTTAGATGTCACCGGGGACTGAACCAGAGACTCAGTCTCACGTTGTGTGTAGTGATGTCCTTATGACATTTGGTAGTATGCTTGTTGATGTTTGGTTAAGTTAGACAGTAGAAGCTTGGCTATTCTCCATGTTCGCCTGTTTTCTGCTGTCCAGAACTGCTGAAACAGAATTTGTCATGAAGTTTGATATTAAGGAGTTTCTCTTCTATTTGTCTGCATATTCCAATTTTGGTTGAAATCGGGCAACAATAGCTAAAACTTTGCGTGAAGAGCTACACATTTTTCTGCCAATCGTAATTTTCTGAAGGCTTATCGGAGCTTGAACTGTTTCCAGCATAAGTTGTCGCTCCATAGCTCAAGCGGTTAGTCTCTGGCTTCCCACCGCAGCGGCCCGGGTTCGATCCCGATCAGGACTGTTCAGGCATGTGCTAGGTAAGGGCAAAGATAGATTTGCCCCTGTCCTTAATTAATAAAGCACCACTCCATGAAGACGTACGGGGGAGTGGAGGTATAACTCCACTACTCTTCACCTCGGCACTATGTGGAGGTGAGCGGTCAGCTTCACGCTCCTGCCGCTTTACCTTCTTGGAAAAGCTCCCGGTACCCATTGGATAGGAGGTCGGGTGGGTCCCAGAGCAGACATGAACGCTATTGAGAAGAGAAAATATTACCCCTGCCGGGAATCGAAACCCGACCGTCCAGCCTGTAACGCATCGCCATACCGACTGAGCTATCGCTGCTCTTTTCTTTATGTTTGTATGCATTTCCAAAATAGCCATGTATGAGGGAGGAAGACAACAGATTATAAATTAAATGGTAGCTGTTTTCTGTAGATGCTGGGATAGTATCTCGATTGGGCTGCGTCTGTTCCCTTCCTGATGCTTGCCATCATCCGTCCAGCCCCCCCCCCTGTGCACTGTGCCGCGCGGCCCCCGGATTTAATTTCAGCTTCCCTGTCAAAGGCACTGGCAGGACAGGACAGGAGAAACGTCGACTTAAAGCAGACCCTGAAGCAATCGGCAGAACGGACTGGGACTGTCTGGTTCCCTTCAGCGGGACAGCAAGTCAACTAGTGGGTCGTCAGCCTCAGGGGGCTGATATTGTTCTCGGTGGACAACTTCCTTATGCAACCCCTTAAGCAAGTGAATGCCAGTTATGGACTGCCGTTGCTGTTGCTTGTTCCCCTAAACGGAATTACCCGTTTGTCGTTGTTATAGAGACGGAGTGATAAGAGTTCTATCTTTTTGCATATAACGTCGCTTAGTCCAGCAAAAGTCTACCTACGTTTCGGAGGCATCTTGAGATTAGAAGATAAAGTAAGCCAAACAAGAATCCACCATTGCTCTAAACACAGTGGAGAATACGAGGGACAGAGAATTGAATTATTTACTGAGGAAGGAAGTTTCGCCACACGGAAATGCGTGTGGCTTGTGCCAGGACATAGACAGCCCTGACTGAGGTTGTATGGTTTTCCTCAGTCTCTCCAGGCAAATACCGAAGGTATGTAAGATGAGATATAACAAGCGATTGTGTGTTTTCTCGGCAACTTGACATTATGGGGCGAGGATGAATATGTCTGTAGCAGTCGGGTCCCTGGGGATGGAGATAACCCGCGCGACGTGGCGCACAGGCAGGGCATTCTAACGGTTTGATAGAAGAGGAGACATGTGTTACAGCGGTGAACAGTACGGCCACTGTGTTGCGGGCTGTGGCACCGCGTTGCCTGATGAATGTGTACCAACATTTTGAAAAAAGAAATGAACCTGGTTCATCCTGATTCATTCTTCAGGCAGTTAGTCGCCGGCGGCCCGAGGTCGAGCCCATGTCAGTTCATGTGGTGGACAAAATGACACTGGGGTAGGTTTTCTCCGAGTACTTCGGTTTCCCCTGCCAGTTCTCATTCCACCGACTGCTCCACATTCATCATCTATCTTCCGGGGCTGGTAAATAGCGCAGTTAGTGGCCGATGTACCGAGTGGACTCAGTCTCATCCACCCAAAGAAACTAACCCTGTAGAATGAGGCAGCAAATTCCTCCGAAACGTTGGCCCAATCGCCTAAACTATACAAGACATCACAGTCCAAGAGGCCGTATTCTTCAGAGTTGTTAGAACAATTCACCCGTACTCTTACCAATATGTACGGTAACCACGGCTGTTAAAGCGATGTGTAAGTATTGAGGGATAATTTTTGGGTGCTATTCGAATCCTCATTTCAATTTTTCTTTTTAATTACATGAGTAATGTTCAATTTCTCAATTTGGGTGTTAGTTGCGTTTCGAAGTTTCTGCCTCTGCATATTGCGATATCTGCAGGGACAGCATGTCGCCACGTTCCGAAGGGATTGCACTGCTAGAACATGCAGGATGCTACCAGAGTGGCTGCTGTGCTCTATCTGCAGGGACAGCATGTCGCCACGTTCCGAAGGGATTGCACTGCTAGAACATGCAGGATGCTACCAGAGTGGCTGCTGTGCTCTATCTGCAGGGACAGCATGTCGCCACGTTCCGAAGGGATTGCACTGCTAGAACATGCAGGATGCTACCAGAGTGGCTGCTGTGCTCTGGGCTTGCTGACTGGGGCGAGTTCCCGTGACGGAAGGCAAAGTCCACGCGTTGTTCTCAGCTTGTGCGCCAATCAACGAGCTTAGTACACTCCAGTAAAGGCAAACATGTCAGTTGTTTGCTCATGATTTTGGTTAGGGGAATTATTTTATTGAACTTCTTCTTTCCTGTGTATGGTGAAATAAATCATAATTACACAAACACGATTGCCGAACCATCACACATAAATTCTATAAGATCTATTAATATTTCACTGCCAGACAGCAAGAAAAACTGTTCTCAGATCCCGCGTTGCAGATTCATACTCTGTCAGCATATTTGTGTTCCTAAGAGCATGTGAAGCCCCGGTTTGCTGAAATTGAAATCGTTCTGTTTCATTTATCGACATTCACCAGCTTCTTTAAGAACATGCCGGGGGAGTGCCCCAGTAAAACCGTGACTACTTCCGTTTAAATCTTAGCCACTCCATTATTCACGTATGGTAAACATTTTGCTGTACTGAAAGCGTCGTGAAATAGACAACCAAAGGAAACTTGTGGATGTGAAATCTGACCTCTTGTTACTAAAGGAACAAAGTGACTTACAAATGTTTCAGCAAACGCTGCATCCAGCAGATAGAACATCGTGCAACCATTGAAAGCAGAGCGGTAACTGAATGTTCAACTGAATTTAACGTTCATGTGCCGTATGGTTCTCACAGTAAACAGCGATTGTTTCCCTAAACAGCATTAACCGGTTGGGCGTTGCTATGGAGACGGAGTGTGTTTCCTGTGAGGTACGGACTTCAAGATACTAAAACTCTGCATTCTGCCCACACAGTGTATTTATGTGTTCCGTATGGTTCTCACAGTAAACAGCGATTATTTCCCTAAACAGCATTAACCGGTTGGGCGTTGTTATGGAGGCGGAGTGTGTTTCCTGTGAGGTACGGACTTCAAGATACTAAAACTCTGCATTCTGCCCACACAGTGTATTTATGTGTTCCGTATGGT